CTCTCCTCTGTTGCTTCCTTCTGGTACCCTCTCTGTGGACGTCCTAACATGGAACTCGGGGGCCATCCTTCTGGGGAAGGTCCAAGGCAGCTGGCTGGCCAGGTTTGGAGAGCCTTTGGACTGGGTAGGAGGTGCAGTTGAGAGATGAAAGGAGCCCCTGGGGAGGTGTGCAGGGCTGGCGGGTATTGGAGCAGTTGCCTCTGGGAGAGCCCCCTGCTCTTTCCCTGCCTGCCTCTAGGACAGGTGTGTCAGGCTTCCGCTGCTCCGGTGGGGGTGAGGGACGGAAGGTGAAAGGATGACATCAGCCTCCTCCGCACCTGGAGCCAGCCTCTCTGAAGCAACCTGTTTTCTGGGGCGTCTCCAGAGTTGGCCCACACAGAGGGTTGTCCACTGAGTGCCCCCCTCCTTCTCCTGCCTTCTCCTCAGCAGCCTGCTGGCCAGGGAGGGAGGACCAGAAGGGAATGTTGCTGAGTCCTGGGGATTCCCCAGGGCCAGAAAAGGAGAGGTTCTCCGGAGGGTTCCAGGTGAGTGCCCTGTAGGACCATATTTTCTTTCTTTGTTCCTTTCCTTTCCTTCCCTTTTTTTTTTTTTTTTTTTTTTTTGGTAGGCTCCACACTGGGCATGGAGCCCACTTGGGGCTTGAACTCACGACCCTGAGATCAAGACCTAAGCTGATCAAGAGTTGGCCACTTAACCAACAGAGTCACCCAGGCACCCCGGGACCATCTTTTCTCAAGTTGGGGGTCGGGGAGCAGGGTCCTTTTGCCTCAGTGACCAGAGGCCTGAGGACAGAACATGAGGGCTAATGATGGGTATTGTCATTTTTTTCTGTTGGAAGCATGGGTCTGGTTTAGGTTGGGGCATGGGGCTGAGGCCTCATGAGGAGGAGAAGGATGTGGGATTTGACCCCCGTCATCTGTGCTGGGAATCCAAGGGGCCTGCTGCAGCCTGCCTCTCTGCCTGGGGACATTCGGGGAAGGTACTCAGAAGGGAGGGCCGATAACCTGGGGAGGTGTGGGCAGAGGAAGGGTGCGGATTGTGTTCATATAGAGAGAGAGTAAAAAAAAAAAAAAGAATCCTTCCTCTCCTGCATCCCCCCCCATGTTTATCTGAGCTACTTCTTCGGTCCATCAAAAAGAAGGGCTTGGGGGACCATCACAGGTGTGCGACTGGAGATAGAAAGTTTTCTAGAAGACTGATTCACTGATTGATGATTGGACTGACTCATGTTGAGAGATGGAAGAGGTCATGGCGGGGGGAGACTTCGGGGAAACTGGAGACTGGGTGCGGTAGGAGAAGGAAGGCGTGGGCATCTGGCTTGAGGGTTTGGCCACTCTCTGCCTGTCTCCTTTAGGCTCCCACTTCCCCAGCCAGACTGTGTCTTCCGGATGAGTCTGAAGACCCAAGTTCCAATCATGACTTTGAGGTGAACGTTGCGGTTTGGGGTGATACTCAGTGGAGAGGAAGGAAAGGTTGCCTCTGGCTTGGGCATGTGGGCAGGTGCAGGTGCTGTCTCTCTGGGAGTCTGAACTACACACAGAGTAATGAATGGTTGGGCTTAGGCTTTTAGGACCAGAATGCGCTCAGATTGAGTGCGATGGCTCTGCTAACAGCCCCCCACCCCCGGATTCTGCCTTGTTTGCTCTCCCTGCTCCACATGCTTGTCATCCTCCCTTTTTGGGTCTTTGCATTCTTTTCCAGGAATTCTCTTGTCCTAGAGAGCCTTGTGGTCCTGGGTCTCCTGATCCCTGCAGAGCTTGTCTCATGCAGGGAATTATAGTCAGGTCCTGGTGACCTCAGTGACCTCATGCTTTTTCCCTTTCCCATGACCTGCGATCTTTTGACCTGGAATCTGTATTTTACCATGTTGTTCCAGCAGGAGGGTCAATTGCCAGATGTCACAGAGTAGCAGGTCTAGAAATGGCTATAAGGAATCTTTTACTTTCATTCCTTTACTGTCTCCATGGCTGTCATAGGATAAAATGAAGTATCATGTTAAAAGCCGTGATCTTTGAAGACTTAATAAGTCCCCTATGGCTTAGGCTGAGGCAAGGCCATAGCATCCAGGCCTGTGACTAATCGTTTGCCTCTGGCCCTGGCTTGTGTGAAATCCGTTAGGGAGACAGCAGGCAGGGGAGTGGGAGCACTGGGGCCTGTGTGCCCAAGTACACAACCAGGCAACTTTTGTGGCCTCAGGTTTCTGTATCTGTAAAATGGGGTAGTGATAGTACTGAGCTCGTAGAGCTGCTAGGAGGTGAAAGTGACTTGCTGTGTCATGGCAGTTAGAACCCTGGTATGCTTTGTTTCAGCCGCAGGGGGCTGCTGGGCATGGAGGTGGGGGCTGCTGGGCACAGAGGGGGCTGCTGCTGGGCATGGGGGTTGCTGCTGGCAAGGGTGCTCCTTTGACGACGTGAGCTTGCTTTGCAGGGAGATGGCTGCATTCCACCAGAGGAGATTTCTCCAAGGAGAAGAGATGCTCTCATTTTGTTACAGGATTCAGAGGGCAGTGGGGGTCCCTGAAGAGTGACCCTCAGAAGGCCCCCCTGAGAGTGTAGGGGGAGTGGTGAGGGGTTTTTTAAAACTGACTTGGCCAGCTGTGAAATCCATCTGGGACTTAGCATCCCCATAGGGGCTGACTGACCCCAGGTTTGATCTGGGAAAGGTCTTAGGTCTTAAGTTTCTGCCCCATTGTTCCAGCTGCAACTGACAGCTGTGTGTGTGTGTGGGGGGGGGGGCGGGACAGCCGGGGGGGGGGGGGTTGGGAGGGATGACTGCAGCAGGCTTTGAAGGACTCCAGAGTCCCATGGCCCTGGGGGTTAAGGACTTGGGTGGAGTTTGGATCTTTGTCATTCTTTGTGCTGAAATGACAGAGCTTTACCCTGTGGGCTGGTGCTATAGAAAGGCCCAGCTGGTTAATTTTAAAGGCTCTTTTGAGGAGGGAGGGAACAGCAATAGTGCTGCGTTTCCCAAGGGGCTCTCGTCTGAGATGCTCAGGGTTTCACCAAGATGAGCCTGTTAATTCTCCTTTGTTGCACCTGGAAGGGAGGATGAAGGCAGGATTGGCTTTAGTGCCGCCCCTTGTGTCCTTATCTGCAGCTGGAGAAGCTCCTGGTGGTCACTGTGGCCACACCCAGAGCTGCAGCGGCGGGGTGCTGAGCTGGAGCGGGTCCTGCTAGCCTCTTGACTTGAGCTCAGTAGAGGTGCCAGTTTGTTTGCCATCGTCAATTTGCCAGATCACCGCTATGGCCCCTGAGCTCGGGTCACTTACAGTCTAGGGCAGGGTATCTCAGACTAGTCACAGTCACAGAGGGAGTGGTAGGGGTAATGCTGGGGTGCTGTAAGAGTATGTAGAAGGGGGCGTCCAGGTTTGGTTTCTGGGGATTGGCTTCTAATCTAAAACCTAAGGATTGGGCATAAGTGACGGGTTGGGGGGGGAGTATGGCTTGGGATAGATGGGGTGGGGGGTGTGGTGCGTGGGGGCTTGGGAGTAATGTCCAGGCAGAGAGAATATTTGCAAAAGCCGGGACTCAGGGCCCAGGGGTGCTGGCACAGCCAGGGCACTGGTTCCAGGTTTGGGCAGAGGCACAGAAAAGCAGGGGGGAAATTCAAGATTCCTGGGGTGATGGCACCTAGATCCTTCTTGTAGCTCTAGCCTGTGGTCTAGCAATTTCTGAGCCCTAGAACTAGGGGTGGAAGGCTTTGGGGCAGTGCAAGTGAGGTTGATACTCTGGAACTCTGTTCCTTGTGCAAACAGCAATGAGATACACATTCTGGAAAGTGGTCTTGTGAGCCGTGGTCTCTTGGAGTTGGGGTCCAGTGTTCCTGTCCTTCCCTGAGGCCTTAGCCCCTCCCAGACTTATGCTCCAAGGTTTTCCAGGTGGGCCTACCTGTGAACAGCCCCACCTGCTCAGGGACTAAAGTCTACCTGAGTCTGTGTTTGCCTTACCTGGGAGCAGTTTCCTGCCTCCTGTGCTACCTGACCTCACTGTGCTAAAGGGAGTTTAGAGAAACTCATCAGTGGCTCAGCTCTGGGACATTTCCTGTGCGTTGGGAGCTGGGGTGAGTCAGGGCCTATACCAGGTGCTGAGGGTCAGGAGCCTTTGGACTCTCTTCTCTGCCTCCCCTGTCAGTATCTAGAAGGTTTCTGTTCGTGGTGCAGCTGCTGGTGCCCCCGGAGATGGCATAATCTTGAGGAGAATTTTACTCTCTGGCACGTGTGTCATCCTAGATTCTAGGAGCAAAGTCTTCTGCTGTCCCTGCTGGTGACCCCAGCACAGGCCCCGACAAGTGAGCACTTAGGAAGTGCTTTTTGACAGTTGTTATCATCACTGTCTCGATGGTTTATGGAGCACCTGCCCCGTGCCGGGCACCACGCTGAGACCCGTTGCTGTGGCAGGTCACTGCATCCCTGGGGACAGGGCCCCAGTGTAGGTTCTGAGAGGCTGACTACTTTGCCAGAGCAGTGGGGCTGGCCTTCGGGTTCCGTCCGAAGGCACCCCAATGGCTGCTCTGGTGGAGATGTCCTCTCTGTTCTCCTGGGGCTCGGGTTTCTGAGCCCTTTATTGTCCTTGGATGTGGGCACCCTTTCTTCCTGGGAATGCCAGAGCTGTTGGAGTCAGGAAGGGATATAACTTGGGCATCCTTGTGCACACTTGTGGAGTCCAACGGAAGGGACTTTCTCAGCATTCACAGCTGTTGTGTTTAAAACTGTGGTGAAATGCACAAACATAAAATTTCTGTTTTAACCATTTTTAAGTGTATGGTGGTTCGATGGCATTACGTACATTCACATCGTTGCTCCCCTATCACTACCATCGTCCAGGACTTCTCTTATCTTGCAAAATGGAAACTCTGTACCCGTTAAATACAAATTCCCCATTCCCTCCTCCTGCAGCAGCCACCGTTTTACTTTCTGTTTCTGTGATGATTCTGAGATCTAATTCTTTGTCTGTTCTGCCCAGAACCTCCCTGGAGTGCCCTCGCCAGGCAGCGATGCCAGGATGCCCGTCTCTGCCTCCCTCTGCCAGGATGGCAGCCAGGAGCGACCGGTGAGCCTGACCTCGAGCACGTCCTCATCGGGCTCCTCCCGTGACAGCCGCGGGGCCATGGAGGAGCCCAGTGGCTCCGGGGCGTCGGCCGAGAATGGGGCAGGCTCCCCACGCAGCTGGCATCCCCCCAATGGCAACACCAGCTCCAGCAGCTGGTTGAGCGGGAGGGGGCCGCTGTCCCCATTCGGCGGACGGGCCCCGGCAGCCCCAGTGCACAAGCTCAGCTACCTGGGCCGCGTGGTGCGGGAGATCGTGGAGACGGAGCGGATGTACGTGCAGGACCTGCGCAGCATCGTGGAGGTGAGGCCCTCCATGTCTGTGGCTGCGGTGCCGAGGCCGCCGTGGGGCTGGCCTCCTGCTCTGGGTGGCCCACCTCGCTTGGGAGCCCGCTTCCACCCCTGGAGGGAGAGTTCTCCCTGACAGCCGTGTCAGAAGAAGCCACCTTCCCTTGGAGCAGTGGGGAGATCTCATGTCCCTGCTCCAGGGCAGCGGGTGGTGGGTAACCTCAGACTGCTCGTGTTGCTTCGCGACTTTGGGTCCAATGAGGAGCTGGGGCCAGGACCTCCTGCAGACCCTTGGTTGGTGGGGAGGGGCAGGGACCACTGTGCTCACAGACACGGAACCCAGGGAGGAAACTGGCCCGGATGTTGCCCCTCTGTGCCCGGATCCCTGCCCTGCTGTTTCCTGGCTGCGGGGTCCCAGGCACTTGTGTGAGGCCTGAGCCTCAGGTTCCTCTCTAAGATGAAGATGCACTCGCCTCGCGGGGCCAGCACAATGTGCTTCACCCTGCAGGGCCTGGGCAGGTGGCTGGTTGGCTGCCGCTGAGGAAGCCCTCTGCTCTTGGTGAGAGCGGCATGTTTGTTTCCACTGTAACAAATTAGCACAAGCTTGGGGCTAAAACGCAGAGGTTTCTTCTGTGTTGGTTTAGGAAGCCAGAAGTTGGAAATCAAGATGTTGGCAGGATTGGGTCCTTCTGGAAGGTCTGAGGGGAGAATGCATCCATGCCTCTCTCCTGGCTTCTACCAGGTGGTTGCTGCCAATACTTGGATTTCCTTGGCCTGTAGATGCTCTGTCCTGACCTCTGCCTCCATCTTCCCATTGCTGCCTTCTCCGCGTCATCTGTGTCCTTTCCTCTTACAAGGACACCTGTCATAGGATTGAGGGCCCACCCTAAATCCAGTATTCTCTTGTCCTGAGATCCTTGACTGATTATATCTGCAGAGACCCTATTTCCAAATCAGGTGGCCTTCTGAGGTTCCAAATGGATATTGATTTTGGAGGGAGAGCTGTCCAGCCCAGTACAGTGGGCAGTGTCTGTGAAGTCTCACTGCTGTCAATGGAGGACAGGACTGTGCCGGGGTGGGCTGGGTTCTGATGTCTCCCTCCACACAGGACTACCTCTTGAAGATCATCGACACACCTGGGCTGCTGAAACCGGAACAAGTCAGCGCCCTCTTTGGGAACATAGAAAACATTTATGCACTGAACAGGTATGGAATGAGCCTAACACACACCATGTTCTTCTGCCTGTGAGGCCCATGTGGGCCTGGAGGCCCGAGGAGGAGCCCTGGATGTCTGTAGTCTCCTGGGCTATGACATGGGGGCCTGGGGCCTGATCGCTAGGGTGGGTGATGGTGGTCCATCCCTGTACAGGGGGTTAGTTAGCTCCCTATGGGAGAGGGCGTGTGGGACATGTGCCCCCTCGGGGAACTGCTGGCCTCTGGCACGTGATAATGCTCTTTCCTCTGTACCTTTATGGCCCCTCTGTCTCTCGCATCTTTACCCCCACTTGCACATCTCTTCATTTCTTCCTCACCTTCCTGCTGACCCCATGGAAAGTCAGGTCTCCCTGAGGGTGATCTGACCCATTAGGAGAATGACAGGCCAGACAGAATGTGATGGGGGAGGCTGAGCGTGGCCCGGTGAGGGGCTGCTTCAGGGCACAGCGCTTCCTCGAGGCTCTGGCGTGTGCTGCCTGGACCCATAGATTCCCCAGGACCTGGTTGGGAGGGGTAGTGGCTGAGGGGACAGCATCTGTAGACAGGAGGAACCTTACCCTGGGCCCTTTAATGGGGGCCAGAGGGGCTTCCTGCTGGCCCAGCTGGAGAGTCCGGGAGGGCAGGCGCGGGGTGACTTGGGCTGGCCAGTGGTGGGTCAACAGGGAGGCATCAGGGGAACAGTGTGTTTAGGGTTTCCCCTAGTGCCCCATCTAAATTCCAGGGGTACTGGGACTCACCCTCTTTCTCTCTCTTTCCTGCATCCTTTTGAACTGGGAGCCTTTGGTTACTTTGGGAGTCCCCTCTCTCTCTCACTCTCCCTTTAATCTCTGCCTTTGTGTGTTTGACTCCTTCTGCCTGCAGAGGAGCTGTCTCCCCTCCCGAGGTGGGTACTGGTGTCCCCTCTCTTTTTCTTGCTTGCTGAGCATGTGTGGGTCCTTTGCTCCCCATCTTTGCGGCAGTGCCTGGTACTTTGTGTGGTTGCTGGCCTGGGCTGGGCTCACTCTGAGGATGGACGCCCCGACTCTTTGGCATGACACTGGGGGCTGGCTGTGTATCTGGGTACCGGGAGGCCGGGGAGGGGCATGTGGGAAGCAGTGGAGGCTGTGTGCCGTCCGGGGTCTGATGAGCGCTCTCCCGTCCCGCAGCCAGCTACTCCGAGACCTGGACAGCTGCAACAGTGACCCTGTGGCTGTGGCCAGCTGCTTTGTGGAAAGGGTGAGAGGGGCTGCTGGGTCCTTGCCTCTTGTCCTGCCTTGATGGGGGCTCTGAGGCACAACAGTGCCCAGCTTAAGAGGGCGTGTGAGTCCTGGAGGCCTCTGTCCAGGGGAAGTGCAAGGTGCCCTACCTCAAATGGGAAGGGCATTCTGGCCTAGAGCCAGCGGCTGCTAGATGAATGAGGTGGCCCAGACAGATGGGTCCCAGGATGGGTCTGCAGGTGTTTAGGGAATAGGGGGCAGAGTGTGCTCACGGGTGTGTGTGTGTGGGGGGGGTCAGGGCCATGTCTTTGCTATACCCAGGTTTAGAGTCAATGGGAGGCTCCCAGAAATCACCATCTTTGTTTGGTCTCCTCTTAGAGTCAAGAGTTTGATATCTACACGCAGTATTGCAACAACTACCCCAAGTGAGTAATTGGGGTGAAGAGGGGAGGCGGAGTTATTCTGTGGGCCTGGGGCACCCCACATCCCCATGCAGGCCTTCCCAGGTGGTGACGGCCGCTTCCCCCGCACTCCAGCTCAGTGGCCGCCCTGACCGAGTGCATGCGGGACAAGCAGCAGGCCAAGTTCTTCCGGGAGCGGCAGGAGCTCCTCCAGCACTCTCTGCCCCTGGGCTCCTACTTGCTGAAGCCTGTGCAGCGCATCCTCAAGTACCACCTGCTGCTGCAGGTAGCCCGGCGGTCTTCACACTGCGGCGGGGGGGTGGGGGTGGGTGGGTACGTGGGGTTGGGGGGATGCAGGCCTGAGCCTGGGCTGCCTACGTGCCTGTCTTCCGCGCAGGAAATCGCCAAACATTTTGATGAAGAAGAGGATGGCTTCGAGGTGGTGGAGGACGCCATCGACACCATGACCTGTGTGGCTTGGTACATCAATGACATGAAGAGGAGGCATGAGCATGCGGTCCGGCTCCAGGTGCTCCGGGGCTGGTTGCCAGAGGGACTGGCAGGCTGGGGGATGCCGAGGGCAGGCTTCCTGGCTCGGTGGGCTTGGTGGGGAGGAGGGGTGCCTGTGGCTGCGTGTTCTGGGTGGCTGTGTCTGTAGGAGTTTCTGGGGCTCTGTGTTGCCCCCGGAGGGTCATGAGCAGCCTGACTCTGGGGGTCGGGGCTTCTCTGCTGTAGGAGATTCAGTCGCTGCTCATCAACTGGAAGGGGCCAGACCTGACCATCTATGGGGAGCTCGTCCTGGAGGGCACGTTCCGTGTGCACCGCGTGCGCAATGAGAGGACCTTCTTCCTCTTCGATAAAGCACTGCTCATCACCAAGAAGCGGGGCGATCACTTTGTCTATAAGGGTCATATCCCGGTAACCAGGCTGCTCTCATGGCCTCTGTCCCTTGGCCCTCTTACCCTTTACCCCCTTGCAGTGGGCTAGGCTCCATTCTTTCCTTTAAAAAAAAAAAATTTATTTTTAAGTAATCTCTCCATCCAATATGAGGTTCAGACCACACCCCTGGGATCAAGAGTCTTGAGCTGTAATGTCCGAGTCTGTCAGGCGCCTGCAGGCTCTGTTTCTTGACCCCCGCATGGGCCCTGGGTTGGAGTGGATGCAGCCCCGTCCTTCTGAGATTACTCTCCCTGCCTGCCTGGGTGGTCTCAAGGGGCTGGGACCCCAGGTCAGCCCCCGCCCCTTCCTGTGCTTGACTGTGCTCTCCCTCTGCCCCAGTGCTCCTCCCTGATGCTGATCGAAAGCACCAGAGACTCCCTGTGCTTCACTGTCACCCACTACAAGCACAGCAAGCAGCAGTACAACATCCAGGTGAGGGCCGGGCCAGGGGGGCTCGGGCTGGGGACACACCCACCACCTCGGCTCGCATAGATGTGTGGGGCCTCCTGGTCTCCCTCGGTAAGGTGGGAATCCCTGTGGGCATCTCTTGGGTTTTTGTGGAAGAGTCCAGGTAACCTCACAGGTCCCAGCGTAGGCCGTCTTTCTGCCTCAGCCCCCCTGACGGAAGCCTGCCCCATGGCGGATGGCTTCAGGCTTGTGGTTGTAACCCTGGCTCCCTCTCCCTTGGGTCTTTTCAGGCCAAAACAGCAGAGGAGAAACGGAGCTGGACTCACCACATTAAGAGGCTCATCCTGGAGAACCACCACACCACCATCCCGCAGAAGGTGAGTTCCCGGGGTGCCCCACCTACCCCTTGATGGGGTGCAGGGAGAGGGTGTTCCTCAGCCAGCTCCGGGGTCCCACCAGTGCCTTATTCCTGGAGGATGTTGGCTTCACTGGACACCGGGGGTCAGTGTGGTGGGTGCCGTGGGCTTCGGCACAGCCCTGGGGGGTGTCCCAGTGCAGCAAGAGCAAGTCGGTGGGCCAAGAGAGGCATGAATGTAGAACGTAGTAACTGGGTGTGTTTCCTTTCCTTCTAGGCCAAGGAAGCCATCTTGGAAATGGATTCCTACTGTAAGTGTACCCTTTCTGCCTGCTTTCTCCCTACTTGGTCACATCTCTAGATCCGTGGGAAGCTCTGCCTGAGACTTCCGTTCCAGGGAGCAGGGAGAATGGGGAAGCTCTTTCTGTCAAGGGCTAGGGGTCTACTGCAAGACCAGGGGCGTAGTCTTGGCTGGCCAGTGGGACTCCCACTGCCTACCATTTCTGAATGGAAGATGGAAGAGGAGGGACCTCTGGATCTTCTGGCCCCTGGAGCTGGGGCAGGCAGCAAAGGTGTGGTCAGAGTCTAGGCCCAGGCTGATTGTCCGTCTCGTGTGCAGATCCCAGTCGGTACCGCTGCAGCCCAGAGCGCCTGAAGAAGGCCTGGTCTTCCCAGGACGAGGTGTCCACCCACGCGCGACAGGGGCGCCGACAGTCTGGTAAGGGAAGGGCACTGTGGGCAGAGCAGCTTCCTCACAGGACTCTTGACCAGGAGGGGGACTGTCTGCAGCAGCATTTGGGGCTGGCTCTCTCCTCCATGGACATCCTGGGGAAGGGCAGGAGGGAGGATCGCCAGGCCCACGTGGCACGTCCTGTCCCCGTGCTTGTGCTACCCTCCACCGGGCACTTTTTTTCAGGCCCTTCTTGCCCACCAGGGCTGGGCAGCCCACCTTTTCCAGGGCCCTGGGAATGCTTGTTCACTCAGGCCTCCGTGCTCTTTCTTAGCCTTCCTGGGACCAAAACTTTGCTTCTTTGTCACTCAGAATCCTGGGACTCAGCCAGGAGCGACGCTCGGATGTCATGGGGGATCCCCAGCCCAGTTCTGGAGCAGAGCAAACGCAGGACGTGGGGAAAAATGAGTTAGACGTCAAGTGGCACCAAATCCAGACAGGAAATATTTACTTTGGGTCTCAGAGAAAAGTTCCATTTTCCTCTGCTGGGTTTTCTTCCATGACTGGGCTTGCTACTGTGTACTTGGATTTATTGGAATGAATTGTCTGTTGAAGAAGAGAAAACCTTGCTTTTATTCTTAGCTCTGGGGGTGATAAGGCTGTGTGTTTTCTGTGTCTGTCTGTCTGTACTCCGCTCTTCAGTCCGAGGCCTAGGGACAGATTTAGCTTCCGCTGGGCACCTGGTGAACACAGATGAGGTGGGAGTTGGAATGAGAAGTGTCTCAGAGGCCCCTGGAGAGAAGATCCGGGAATGACTGGCGCACTGTCCTGGCGTGGATCTCCAGGGTGCATTGGGTTTGGCTGTGACCCATGGGTCCCCTGAGCAACTCTGGGGATTGTGTCGTATTCTGGAAGATAGAGCACAGTGGTCTCTGGAAAGCTTTTGTAATTTTGTTTTGTTTGGTATTACCCCCAGTGGATCTTGAACCCTAGGCAGATTTGTGACGGTCACAAACATTTTACGACACCATGTGTGAAAAGCCCCCGACTGGGGGTGTTACTTTATAGTTTTCTGGCCCTCTTCATTTTCCTTTCTTCTGGGATGCTCTTCCTGTCTTTCTAGCATTCCCCTCTGCCTTGTCATGTGGCTTTGCATTGGAAGCTTCTGGCACGTGGAAGAGCTGCTGGTGGTGGTAGGAACTGCAGTGCCGCCGGTCATGACATCAGCGTGCACTCCGTGGCTGTCATGGCACGCAGGCAGTGAGTTGTTTCAGAGCTCAGTTCCTGCTGGACTAAGATTTTAGCCTGTGAATGAGTCGGGTTCTGCCTGCCTGTTTTCGTACTTTAGTCTTAACCATTGTGAAACAAACATCTCTCTAAAACGTGCTTCATCCTCTGCAGCTTCTTAAGGTAGAGGATGCCAACCACTGTGGAACTTTTCCTTTTCTGGCACCAGGGTGACAGCATCCGTTGGGCGTGTGCGCTGGGGCTGGGGGTCGCCATGGCGGCCACGCACCCGAGGTGTGGTATCCCCCTTACCCGGCAGGTGTCTCCCCACCTTACCCGGAAGCTGTCCCCCCCCCCCTTACCTGGCAGCGTTGGTTCTTGTCTGTCACAGTGTCCTTGCCTGGAGCGGCTCTTCTCCCTGCTTGTTTGAAAGCAGTCGATTGAACTTGTGAGAAGTGTGGGTAAGGACCGGCCAGCAAGGGGTGCCTCACTGGCTCAGTCAGAGGAGCATGCAACTCTTGATCTTGGGGTCATGAGTTCAAGTACCATGTTGGTTTTAGAGATTATTTTTATTTATTTATTTATTTATTTATTTAAAAAAAAAAAAGATATTTATTTATTTATTTCATAGACTGTGATCACAAGTAGACAGAGAGGAAGGCAGAGAGAGAGGAGGAAGCAGGCTCCCTGCTGAGCAGAGAGCCTGATGCGGGGCTCCATCCCAGGATCCTGAGACCATGACCTGAGCAGAAGGCAGAGGCTTCAACCCACAGAGCCACCCAGGCGCCCCATGATTATTTTTAAAAAGAAAGTTAAAAAAAAGGCCATCAAGTTGCTGAGAGGGAGACGGGGCCCCTTGTAAGCCCTGCAGTGACAGCTTGGAGTCCCCTGCTCTGCCTCCGGGCCTCTTCTTCCCAGAGAGCTGAGATGGGCAGAGTGGTATGCTCTAGATAATTAAGGTGCTGCTGTCACTGCTTGTCACTTTTTTTTTTTTTTTAAAGGATTTTATTTATTTGACAGAGAGAGAGACAGTGAGAGAGGGAATACAAGCAGGGGAAGCGGGAGAGGGAGAAGCAGGTTTCCCGAGGATCAGGGAACCTGATGCGGGGTTCGATCCCAGGACGCTAGGATGACCCGAGCCAAAGGCAGACAGACGCTTAATGACTGAGCCACCCAGGTGCCCTAGCTACTTGTCACTTGTTAAGTAGTCTTGATTATAAGTTTTAAGATGGACGAGTAGGGCATTTTATGTTTCTCACTTTAAAAGCTCTCAGATTCACAGCGTACTTAGGTTGTGCAGATGGTGTGCGTGGGTACACGCGTTTCAGTAGAAGAAACCTGTGCAGTGCGCTCCCTTGTAAGATTTTCCTTGGCCTCCGAGTGTACCGTGGGCTTCCCAGTTAACACCAGCTGGGCAAGAACCTTGTGGGGTAAGGTCATGGCTCTGTGGAGAGGTCCCTGGACACATGTCCTCTCCTACCTGCCTCTCTCAGGTCTGTTTCCAAAAAGGCTGGGATACAAATTGGTGACACCATCAGCCTAATGGGTGTGTTTTATATCTTATTCCCAGAGCCTGGTCAGCCCTCGTTCCTCCGGGCCACACTCCCCAGCAGGCAGCGAGGCTTCGTGGAGCCAGGCCTTAATGGCCGTAGGAAGTCGGGTGCGACCTCTGCTTTCTAGCCGGGCTGCTGCAGGGGGGCTTGGCCTTGGGTGTAGCTGTTGTGCTCAGGGGCTTGTCGCAGGGAGGGTGGGGCTTGAGGTAGAGCTCAGATCTCCGAGGATGCGGCGAGGCGGTCTGAAGGAGGCAGCTTGGGACTGCAGCTCCAGAACCTGGGGCCCTGGGTGAGATGCACTGATGCAGGGATTGTGGGCGGGGCTGTTCCTGGGGGGGTGGCCGTCCTGGAGCAGGTCTCTGGTGCTGGATGGAGATGGCCCGGGCCATGTCTTCCTGCGGGGGTAGGTAGGAGGGAGGGGTTGCCCAGGCTGGAGTGGACTTTGAGCTGCTGGTGGCGGTGCGGCTGTGAGCATAGGACCAGGGCCAGACACAGCTGTTTCCAGGCCTGCACTGACTGTCCGTTCACTTTCCTTCTCAGAGCCAACCAGACACCTGCTGAGGCAACTCAGTGAGAAAGGTGAGTGTGAGCGTGGCCAGCCATTCCTGCCAGGCTCTAGGGTCGGGGCAGGGAGGTGACACAGGTAACCTTCTGGTTCTTGAGGACAGTTTGGAAGGGTCCCTGCCTCTCTTCCTCTCTGGAGGTGGGCCTCACCCCTTGCTGTCTGGTGAAGGGGCTGAGCTCGCCTTCCTGCATACTTCTAGTACCCTGTCCTTGGGTGACAGTCCTTGATGGACACAGACCTGTGCTGCTCTTCCCCCAGGACCTCTGCTCTGGCAGTCATTCCTTTGAAAGCCCAGGAGACCAGGTGTGGGTTCTGGGTATAGGGCCCCCAGGGCAGCCTTCCTTGGGGGGCTCCTGGTCTCTGTAAAGAGGCTCTTTCTCCTGCTTACCGATCTGTTCTCCCCTCCCCCTTGCCTGTGTGCTGGGACCTGGCCGTGGCAGGTGCAGTCAGAGCAGCAGGAATGAAGGTAAGGCCCGTGGGTGAAGAGAACTGGCCTGCCAGATGGGGGTGGGACTGCCAGGTCAGCACCCTGGCCCCTTCAGCTTCATCTTCGTGCAGTGGACAAATACCTCTCAGGCCACTACTGTGTGCTGGACTCTGTCAGAAGAGTCCCAGAGATGAATAAGCCATGGCCCTTGCCCTGGGATCCTTCTGTACCCTTTTCCTGGAATGGGACCCTGGTGTTGGCCCACCCTGGATCTTCTACATTTTCTTTCTCTGGGGTAGGCAGGCCTCTCTGGGTCTTGAGTGTCTGACCCAGCTTTCCCAGGTCCCAGCGTCCCACCTTGAGGACTCCCACCCCTGTCCTCCCTCTGCTCTGGTGGAGACCAGGGGTTGGGTGTTCAGGTGTGGCTTTCCCCATGTAAAGCCTCCGCACCCCCAGCCGCTGGCGGGAGGAGGGGGCTTGCGTGGAGGCCAGTCACGAGGGGGTCTTCTGCTCTGAACAGCATGCAGGCAGTGCTGGTGCTCTCCTGGACTTTGGGCGGCCTCCTCATGCTCAGGGTGTGCAGCCGGAGGCTGAAGGGGCTGCCCGGGAGCAGGAGGAGGAGGAGGAGGAGGAGGAAGAGGAGGTGGTGGTGGAGGAGGAGGAGGAGGAGGAGGAGGAGGAGGAACGGGCCTTTCAGGTGTCTCTGGAGGACCTGGCAGGGCATGAAGGCAGCGAGAAGGGGGCCAGGCTGGAGCCCCCAGGCTCGGAGGAGGAGGAGGAAGAGAGCCTGGCAGTGGCGGAGCAGGTAGCCGACTTTGCCAGCTCGCTGCTGGCCGCCCTCCACTGCTGGCACTATCGGGCCAACGCTTTACTTTTCTCCCGGGGCGCTATGGTGAGGTGTCTCTTTGATCTCCCCTCCTCCTTGCATGTTCCCTGGCCAGTGCATGCCCATCCGGGAGTTCTCTCCCCTGCCCTCCCACCCCCTCTGTCCTGTTCCCTCACTCCTGCCGTCAGCACCTAACCCCTTGCCCGCTGTCACGCCCTGGTGAGCCCTTGGCATGTGCTATTCTGGTTCTGGGCGTGAGCTAGTGTCCTACCCAGTGAGCATGACTAATGGGGTGGGGGTGGCGGAGAAGGGGAGAAGCCAGCGGGTTGGGCTTTTTGGAGGCTGCACACCCAGTGGGGAGTTCTGGATCCCCCAGGCCTGGCGGTTCAGGCTCAGGTCTCAGGCTGGCTCTCAATATGGCCCAGACCCCTTGGGGCTCAGAAGGTTTGCTGTTGTGGGGCTGCAGAAGGGTTGAGCTCCCAGTTGTCCCAGGAGCTGACGATGGCCCTCTGTTTGCTTCAGGAGAAGGGGCGCAGGGAGTCCGAAGGCCCCCAGAGCTGTAGAAGGTCCAGCGGCTGGTCTCCAACAAATGCTGAGAAGTGCGTGAGCTTCGAGTCCACTTCTCCCCGGCCAGAGGTGAGCAGCCGGCGGGCAGGAGGGCCCGTGCAGGAGAGCCCAGAGCACAGGTCTGTGGGTGGGGCTTGCTGGCCCCGGGCTCCATTTTTGGGCCCATGGGGACAGGGATCCCCCCACACTCTCGGCCCCTTTAGGAAGCCGGTCTGGCCTCTGGGCCTGTGGTGGGGTGAGCAGGTAGCCTTTCTGTGAATTAGAAAAAGAAGACCCTTTTTGACAAGATGCAGTCGCTTGTCAAGGGCCCTATTAGCAGAAGTAATCAGATCTTAGGTCCCTTCAGCCAGGCCTCCTTGTATAGGGCGTATGACCCGCTCCTGCCAGCTGGACAGACAGTGGACTCACGCCTGAGCCCCCCCCAACTCTGGATACTGACATCTACTGGCCACTTCCTCCATGTCCGATGTTTTATTTCTTCTGTTCCCCTCAACAGCTCAGGTAGAAAGAGGCTCAGAGAAGTTGAGTGACATGCCTGGTGTTGGGCAGCTTCTGAGGAGCAGAGCTGAGCTCAGGCCAGTCTGATTTAGAAGCCCACATTCCACTTCCTGCCACATGCTGTGTGTGGATGGAACCCATACCTTTGTTTTCTCAAAGTTACAAGAAAAAGGGTAGGAGGCCTTGACCTCAGGCAGGCCTACCAACCCCGGCAGGTCTGAGTAACCTGACATTGGATTGGAGTCTGGGGTGGTGGTGTCCTATGATAATAGGAAGCAAGCCGCACGTATAACTAAGTTTTCTAGCAGCCATGTTAACAGGTTATTTAATTATTGAATGTTAACTATAATTTCAACATGTAAGCAGTGGAAGACGCTACTAAGGACGTTTTATATTGTGTATGTTTTTGCGGTCTGGTGTGTGTTTTACCCTTACAGCTGTTCTCAGTTTGGACTAGCCACGTTTCAGGTGCTCAGAAGCTGTTTGTGGCCAGCAGCTGCTGTGTTGGGAAGTGCAGGCCTTGACCATGGGTCCTGCTTTGCAGACTCTGGACTAGAACAGTTGGGATTGGGTCTGGTTCCTCTGAATGTGGAGTGTCTGCCCTTCTTCCTCAAGGCCCCTCTGGGAAGCCACCTGTACGGCTGGTTTCACGGTGCAGATCCTTCAAGGTGGTCGGGAGGAGGTTCTTACGTGTGCTTCTTCCTTCCTTCCCTGTCTGCTGGGCATTGGCAGCGTTGTGGCTGGGGCCAGAGGCTGGCTGGGAGGAGCCAAGTCCCTGTCTTCACCCACTCTGATGGGACTCTAGCGTGCTGTCCTGTTGCCCTCTGGACCCTCATCCACACAGGACGTCCTGGCCCCTCTGGGTCTGAACCCAGAATAGCCTCCATGTGCCTCTAGGGCTTTAGGAAGCTGCCTCTCCAGCAGGCATACCCTGTGCCGTGTGCTCCCACTTTGTCCCTGTAGCTTCCAGGCAGGCTGTCACTGAGAGGTGCCACCACTCTACCCCATCTGTGTTCCCAGAATTTTCCTTGCCTTTTTTTTTTTAAACAACCCAAGGCCGTTAGCTGAATGATGGCTAAGGGACCTCAGCACGTTCCTCTCCCTAAGGCCCTGTCTCTCCCACTCTCGAGTTGTGCTCATTCTCATTGCCTTTGGTCCTAAACTATATGCCCTCTCATTGGGCTTTGAGCAGGTCGTGCTGTCCCTTTCTCTGGGTCTCATGAGGGAGGGTTTTGGCTCATAGGAGCTCTGTTGTCCCAGGTTGAACCAGACCCTGAGCCTGAGCTGGAGCAGGAAGTATTTGTCGCCATGGAAGTTCCCAGCACTGAGGAGGTGCCCTCAGACACGGAGTCTCCAGAAGTCCTGGAAACACAGCTTGGTGCCCACCAGGAGCTGCTGGGGCTGGACCCCCCGGGTGACATGGTGGGCTTCGTGGTGGCCGAGAGCACCGAGGACCTTAAGGCTCTGAGCAGTGAGGAGGAGGAGGACATGGGGCCCACACCGGATACGGAGAGCCTCCTGCCGCCCTCTGTGCTGGACCAGGCCAGCGTCATTGCCGAGCGCTTCGCCAGCAGCTTCTCTCGGCGGAGCAGCCTGGCACTGGAGGACGGCAAGGCCAGCGGCTTCGGGAGCCCAAGGCTGGCGAGCCGCAGCAGCAGTGTGCTCAGCCTCGAGGGCAGCGACAAGGGCCCGGCCCGACCTGGCAGCACTACGGACGCCCTCAGCTCGCAGCCACCCCCTGAGGTGGACAGCACTGCGGGAGTGGCCACGGACAGTGGCCCTTCGGTCAATGGGATGGAGCCCCTGAGCCCAGGCTGCCCAGCAGAGCCCGACAGGCCTTCCTGCAAGAGGAAGGCGTCGACCCTCTCCACCCGAGACCGGCTGTTGCTGGACAAAATCAAGAGCTACTATGAAAGTGCAGAGCACCGTGATGCAGGCTTTAGCGTCCGGCGCCGGGAGAGCCTCTCCTACATCCCCAAGGGGCTGGTGAGAAACTCTGTTTCCAGATTCAACAGCCTTCCCAGGCCAGACCCAGAGCCCATGGCTCTGCCGGGGCATAAGAGGCAGGTGGGCTCCCAGCCGCCTTCATGGGCTCTGTGCGACCTCCCGGGAGCCGGCCAGGCTAGTGCTGGGGAGTCAGCTCCTATCACAGATGCTGAGTTCCGGCCGTCTTCGGAAATCGTAAAGATCTGGGAGGGAATGGAGTCTTCCAGGGAGAGCTCTCTGCAGGGGCCTGGCCAAGGCCAGGCCAATGGTTTTGACCTGCACGAGCCCCTCTTTATCCTGGAGGAGCACGAGCTGGGGGCCATCACTGAGGAGTCGGCCACCGCCTCTCCTGAGAGTGCCTCCCCCACGGAGCAGCCCAGCCCGGCCCACCTGGCCCGGGAGCTGAAGGAGCTGGTGAAGGAGCTGAGCAGCAGCGTCCAGGGGGAGCTGGTGACTCCACTGCACCCCCGCATCGTACAGCTCTCCCACGTGATGGATGGCCCCATGAGCGAGCGAGTCAAGAACAAGGTCTACCAGCTGGCCCGCCAGTACAGCCTCCGCATCAAGAGCAAGTCTGTGACAGCCAGGCCTCCTCTCCAGTGGGGAAAGGCAGCTCCCACCATTCCTTGTCTGCAGGAGGAGGCCGGAGCACCCTCAGGCAGCAGAGGTACAACCACGTGGGTGGGGAGTGGGTCCTTCCTGAAAGTCTGGGGTGGAAGAGCCTTTTAGGAGCAGGTTGGCTCCTGGGGGAAGGTGGCCCCTGTAGAACCATGACCAAAGAGGGGGCTGGACTCCACACACAAGTGGTGTGAGCCCGGGCGGTTAGTCCCAACGCCCAAGGCCCAGCGTGTGACCCTGGTTGAGCCTCCTTATGGCCCTCCCCAAGCCCTACTTGTGGAGCAGGGACCTTGGGAGGAAACATGGCCATGGGCCCTCTCTTTCAGGATAGTAAAGGATCTTGTCTTTTCCTTTGACTCCTGACTCTGTTCACTGGCTTTTTTCATTCTTCCCATTGCCCACCCCCCGCCTTTTTTTTTTTTTTTTAGATTTTATTATCTGACAGAGTATAAGCGGGGCAGAGGCAGTGGGAGAAGCAGGCTCCCCACTGAGCAGGGAGCCCAATGCGGGACTCGATCCCAGGACCCTGGGATCATGACCTGAGCCAAAGGCAGACGCTTAACCGGTGGAGCCACCCAGGCACCCCCCCCACCCATTGCCCTTTGGTAGAGGGGCCGTGGATGATGAATGATTTCTCTCCCCTCACAACCAAAACCCCAGTAAGCAGCCTTGCCTGAAACATGAGCAGAAGGCAGTGCAGAGTCGTCGCTTGCCCTCTCCCGCCCCGCCCAGTCACTCAGTCCATTTACTCTCTCTTCCATAGGTAAGAGAAAGCCGGTGCTGTCCCTCCTCAGCGATGAGCAGATGGTGGCCCCGGAGCACAGCCCGCCCAAGCCTGGCTCTCCTCGGCATTTCTCCTTCAGCCCGAGGACCACCTCGCCTGGGACCCGGCCTTCCTCTCGAAGCCCCCTCAGCCCCTTTGACACTGAGACCTTCACCTGGCCTGATGTCCGAGAGCTCTGCTCCAAGTATGCCTCCCACGACGAGGCATTCCAGGCCGAGGGCAGCCGGCACCGCGGCCTGCCTGTCAACCGCAGCCGCTCGGCGCCCGAGAACATGGTGGAGCCCCCTCTGGCGGGCAGGGTGGGCCGCTGCTGCAGTGTGGGCGCCAGGAGGGGCCAGGGGGGCTCAGAGGCCGCCCAGCCTGAGCCTCCTGGGACGTTGCCCCAAAGCAGGCCGGTTGGAGAGGAGGCCCTGTATGTCACGGCAGACCTCACCCTGGAGAACAACCGGCGGGTGATTGTCATGGAGAAGGCGCCCCTGCCCTGCCCCGTTGGGGGACTGGAGGAGGGCAGTGGTCAGGGACCACACACACCAGTAGCCACAGAGGGACAGGGCCTGGATTTCCAGGAGTCTGGAATTTCCAGGAGTCCAGAGTATTGGCAAAAGGAAGAGGGTCCCAGGGACCCAGTGGACCCAGGCCAGCAGGGCAGAGTGAGAAACCTGCGGGAGAAATTCCAGGCCTTGAACTCCGTAGGTTGACTCTGAGTCCTGGGAGAGGGAGGAGCTGTGCAGCGGAGGGACGCGGAGGAACCTTGCTGGACTTGCCCACAAGCCTGGCCTCCCCGGGCTCACATAAGCCCCTGAAAGAATGGGCTGGTGTGCTCAGCCAGTGCCTTCACCTGCTGGGAACGGCCTGGTGCTCCCCGGGGCTCGTGGTGACTTTCATAGGGCCAGCTGAGCCCTGCTACCCACCCAGGCCAGTGTGGCCACTTCCCTTGTATATAGTTCTTGTCTAGTAAGAAGCCAAGTATTTAAGCTGTCCTCTTCCCGAGGGAGTAAGCCGTGCTCCGGCCTCCATTGTCGGGCTGACCACTGCCAGGCTGAGGAGCCCACCCAGGGGAGCGGTGGAAGTGGCCTGGGGAGGCTTTGCTCTTTAGTTGTGCCTTTTCTTAGGATCCAGGCAGGAACAAGGCCCATAATTTATTGTTTCCCATTCTGTGGTGCATTTGCGCACATGTCTGTGAGTGTGTGTTCTCCGGTTGTTGATTCCTCTCCTGTGAAGAATGTAATGGATTCTGTTCAGGTACTTTTGTAGGTTGTCTTGCTGACCCTGTGGTTGTCGCTCATGTACATACATTTCATTATTTGCCAACGGTGCAATAACGCTGCTCACCAACCAACCTGTGTGTGCTCCTCACTGGGCCTCGGTGGGGGGTGGAGGGTGGGGGGGTTGCTGACTGAGGCCAGGGATGCCTCAGGGAGGCGGGCTGTGTGGTGGCTGCTGCACATTCCCTCCTGCATCAGTCGTGCTCACGACGCATAAGGCAGCAGGGTGCTTACAGGGGAGGCTGGGGCAGCGCGGTGTGCGGGAAGGAACCTGATCTCTGCCTGCCCCGGCCTGGTGTCCCGCGGGGTGGGGAAATAGCATAGTGCCAGCCTTAAGCTCTTTTCCTCAGGGACCAGTGTTGGCCTAAAAAAGGTGAGGAAATGAACGTTTCTCTAATGGCAGAAATTTTCCAATGTCTGGTGCTTTTTCTCTCCCTCTCTAGTTCCCAGGAGACATCATAGGAGACAAGGATTCTAAATTTGGAGCCTAGACCTGTCTTGCGGTGGCTTGCAACGTCACATGAGGAGAGCAAATGCATTTTTTCTGGGGACGGAGCCTCCGTTTTCATCCTATTTCTCAAAGTGCCTTTTCTCAAAAGGACCGGGGGAGTGTCTGCCGATTTCTGATTGGGTTTTCTGCCCTTCCTCTGTGGTGGATCAGCCTTGTTTGGCCCTGTTTCTGTAGGCAAGTGTTCCACTGGTCTGCTGGGTCAGGGCTCTGTGAGCTTCTGATCTTGCAGGACAGACTCAACCTGAAGGCGGTTGTGTAGAGTCTGAAGAGGTCAGGGGGAGGGTGGAAGCCAGGAGAGGCCTTTCCTAGGCAGAAGCAGATGGGGTAGAGCTACCTGCTGTCCTGAGTATTCTGTGACCATTGCTACTGGTGCTGGGGATAGTTGCCTCCTACCAGGTTTGGGGTTTGATGCTCAGGAGCCAGAAAGGTACTGAGGTGAGAGGACACCCAGGTTCTGGTCCCAGCCCTGCCATTAATTAGCTGGGTCACCTGAACTCTTGCTTTTTTTTCCTCCTCTCTGATTTGGAGAAAATGGATCATGCACTGCTTCTCAAACTCGCTGACTCAAACTTCTCGGAGGGTAGGGCCTGGGAAGTTGTAGTGAATACTTTCCCCAGGTGATCCTTAACCATCTAGGTATGACTGGGAGCCTAGAACCAGCTCACTGGTTCTCACTCACTCCCACTGAGAGTTGTCCATGGAGGCTTTTGAAAAGTGATGATGCCGGTTTCATCCACCTAGACCAAAAGAAATCACCCCCCTCGCCCCCCGCCCAGATGAATCTCGGGCACAGCACCTCTAATGATTCCGATGTCCAGCGAAGGCCAAGAGCTCTGTGGGGAAGGGCCTGCTGCAGGCCCTCAAGGTGGCTGACTGAACGAGCGAGCTTCTGTCAGGGTCTCTGGCGAGGCATAGCAGCTGGGTGTGGGCACGAGATGCTTCGGGGACCAACCAGAGACTGGCTCTCCCTCTGTCTCCATGGTGGTCCCTCCCTGCCCTTGCTCACTCAACCACCCTTCCTTGGTCCCATTCAGAGGGAAACAAAACCAGTCAAATAAGTAACAGAGAAAGATGGAGCATTATTGATTTATTAGAAAAACTAGTAAATGGGTTTTCTCTGGTTGGTGGAAGCACATTTGAGCAGGTGGAGGACAAGGCCCAGCCGGCCCCAGGGCCAGCACCAGATTGTGTGGTCTGTGCCCAACAGGCTTGCAGTCTTGTGGAGCTGCCTCCTCCCTTGTGTCCTCCCTGAGCTTGCTTGTCCAAGGGACCAGGCCGTATGGTCCTCTGGATCCTTGCCCGCTCCCGCTAAAGGGTGGCGATCGAGATCCAGGACCAACCTTGGGAACCCTAGCTGCCCTCCGATAGGCAGGAAAGAGAAGTGGTGTGGTGGGGACGCTGAGCCTTCCACAAGCTTCCAGTTATGGGTGCTAGTTTGTGGGGGCTGAGGGGATGCCTGGCGACCTTCCATACTGCCCTCCCCCCCACCCTCAACCAACCATGAGGGGCCAGAGGATGAAGGGGAAGGAGAGAACGAAGGAGGACCACCTGACCATGCCCAGAAGGCGCTTCCTCTAAGCTGCCCTGGGGAGGAAGCCTGTATGCTGGTGTGGACTGGAGCGTGTCAGCCTAGTTTGGGAATACTGTGAAAAGACTGCAAAGTAGAAAATGTAAGGAGGGGAAAACCCTTGCAAGGGGCACGGGAACTTCACCCCCTGTGGCACAATCTCCCCAAGCCGGCCTCCTGTAGCTTCAGGGCTGTTGGGTGAGTGTCTCGGGGCCTGCGTGATGGAGGAGGGATGCCTGGGGCACTGGCAAGAGCCAGTGGGTCACATGCGGCTGGCTGCCATTGCCCAGTCCGGGAGTCCTGGGGTGGTGGGATCCTATCTCTTCCTTTGGGGCCCTTTCAGTCTTTGGGCTATGGGATTACTTGCTGCAAATTTCTCACCTCAGTTGCTACTTTGGCACGCATGGAAGGAAGGGGCGGGGGGCGCCTTGTCTCCCTTGACTGGCCCAGGGAAAGAGTTGAGGAAGATGGTTGCCACTACCTGCTGTGCAGTAAGGAACGTGCTGTTTGCCTTGGAGCACGACATGCCCTCAGATGCTCCAGAGGCCTTCGTTGCCAGGTGAGTGTAGTCATCGCACGGCCTCCTGCCTCAGTTTCCCCAGAGGGAGAAAGAGGCTGGTGAGTGGTATATACTAGCTTCCCTGTAGATGCTAGAAGGGATGTAGGGTTAGATGCATAGAGGCCAAGGGAAGACCCTGGCTACAAAGGTGAAACCCCCCACCCCGATCTGGGGATGTCAGGCTCCCGTGGAGAACTTCCCTCCTGCTGTTCTTGTTTGAAGTTAGTTAGCTACCCTTTGACAGGGTGGTTCTGATCTCTAAGCTGTGCCTGCAAGAAGGGCTCCTGGGAAGGCCTAATAACTCTGGGTGCCTACCCCTGTGGTTGCAACCGGAACCTCACCTCCCTTCCAGAGGAATCATCTCCGTGTGCCCGAGGCTCCTCATAGGGAAGGTGATAGAGCAGCAGCTGAGGCCCCAGGGACGTAGGGTCTTTTCAGGGGGATACACCTGCTGCCCCCAGTTTGACCCCTCTTTTGGACCTAAACCCAGTGAAGATGCTGGGTGGGAGCTGTATTGCTTTCAGAGTGGTGGGGGAGATCTTTGTGGGAACGAGTGCCCTCTTTCCCCCAGAGGTTGGACCTTCACAGCATGGGAAAGGCGGGGTGGGGGGAGCCTCCCCCTGGGGAAATCGTGCACAGGGCTCCTTTTGGCTGGGCTTGGGGAAGGGGGTGTTAGATGTTTGGTGGCCTTTGTACCCATGTGACTTGATAAGGACCTCAGGAGAAGCTGAGCAAGGGCTGCTGTACCTTCATGGCCCAGGCCCCCAGCATTTGTTGTAGTTTCCCAGCGGTGGTGTGACATGGGTGATAGTACCCAGGTTACGGTTCCATTTGCTGCCCAGAGTGATAGGTCATGAACTTCACTGTCTGTTCAGCCAGTACCCTCAAATGGTACCAGCTACAGCCAGGACATTGAGTCTTTGGCTTTGGGCTGCTTCACTGCAGATGCTGGCTATCCATCTTCAGTCTGGGGAACTGTACTGTCCCTAAGGGACCCTGGGTCTGAGTTGGACAGTGCTGGTTTGGCTGGGAGTTGGGGAGGATCCCAGAGTGGAGAGGCAGAGCCTTGGGCAATGTCAAGGTCTGTCTGCCTCCTTCACCTCTGAGCCCTGTGCTACGCTGTTCCAAGAGGACCAGCTTGAGAGCTCTTGCTCCTTTCCACTGCCTGTGGTGGTATCAGAGGGCCCCGGAGGCAGTGGAGGCCCTTACATTTAGGACCCACCAACCTTGGTAGTGCCCCTCCACTTTTTTTTTTTTTTTGGTGAGACAAGAAGGTGGAAGGGATATGGTGGCCCCTGAGGTGTGAGTCCCAGTTCCAAGGAAGCCCCGTGGGAAAGAGGCCCCTTGTGTCTCTGGGGTTCCCAGCAGCCCCTCGGCTAGAGCTAGTGCCCTGGGTGCCTACCTGAAGCTCCTTCCTCATGCCCCTAATGGGCAGCTCAGGCATTCCCCTTGTCCTCTTCCATTTCCCTGGCCGTGACCAAATGGGAGGCGGCCCCAAGCAAGGCCTGCTTTGGGAGTGGGCAACATCTGAGGAACCTCCTGTCTTCTCCAGTTTTTGTGGGGCTTGAGGGCCAGAGGGCCCTCCGTTGGGAGGAGGGGGCAGGCGGGAGAGGAGGACAGGCGCCTGGGAAACCGTTTCCCGCCCCAGGGGCTCCTGGCCCTGGGCGGGAGCCTGGGCTGCACGGGAGCAGAGGCGGGCAGCGCAGCGCAGCGGGCCCCTGGCTGCCGGCCGTGGTCGCGGTTGGAACAGGCAGGCGCAGGCAGGGGCAGGGGAGGACTGGGCCCGGGCTGAGGCCTCGGGCGCCCCGCCAGTCCCTACACGGCCCGGTCCCGCCGGCGGGGCGCCAGAGAGGCTACTTCTTTTTGGGGAAGAAGCTGAATCTCTTCTCCTTGTCTTTCTTGCCAAGGCTGGTGTCGGGGCCGGTGACAGAGGGCAGGGGCAAGCTCTGTGCCTTGATGCGGATGCTCTGGGACTCGTTGATGGCGGTGCTCACGCCCTGCAGCCAGGACAGCATCTCCTCCTGCAGGGCGGGAGGGCCATGGGTCACCAGGGAGGGGCATGCCCCAGGACTGCTGGTGGGAGAGGGACCCCTGCTCCTTGGGCAGCAGGGGTCTGGGCGAGGCCACCGTGCACTTACCTCGTCCTTGCCGTGGAAGAGCCACTCACTGCCATTGCTCAGCCTAGGACAAAAGAGGGTTTCCTGCTAGGTGGCCACCTCTGCCTGGAGAGGAGCCAGAATCCGGAGCCTCCCCAGGACCAGAACCCTCACAGGCAGCTCAGCAACCTGCTGAGAGAGGTGAACATCTGGACTCTAAGCTAAGCCTCTTTGGTTTGAAAAATTCCTGAGGGGCAACTTAGGCGAGGAGCTGGTCAC